GATAATCCTGTTTAATGTGTTTGCCAAGAGTTTCACGGAGTACATCAAGCAAAATAAGGCGCCTAAATTTTGGAGACATCAGGAGCGATTCTTCTCCTAATAAAAGGCAACTCCTATAACGTCAAGAACTATCGACCAATTGCACTTCTGTCACAAATGTACAAAGTTGTAACCCGCATCGTTTTAAACCGTATGTGGAAAGACTTCGAACTTAAAACTAACCTTACGAAAGTCGGAAAAAGCTAATTTTTGGACATGGCTTTCTGCTGTCGACCATATACATTTCTTCTAGCAGTTGACAGAGAAGTGCAACAATATCAAGCGATACTCTGTATTACTTTATTCGTCTATAAGAAGTTGTTCGATTCGATCGAATTGACAGCTGTATTAAGCGCCTTGCACGAACATGGCGTAAACTCTGTAAGCCTTGCAAAAAATTACCACAGCCTCGTTAACCGATTATTTTGAGGTTCGTAGCAGGTTCCCCACGAGTGACAAAAAATCGTCAAAAACTGGTCTTTAACTGCGAACCATTCCTTTGACTATTGCGCATGGATACCGAGGTTGGATTTGGTTGAAGTTCTTTCCCACCACGCCGTTTATTATCTGACGACGGTCCAGTGCCTTTGCTCACAAACACATAGTCATATAAATAATGTCAAATGTGAAGAAACAAAAGATGATAATGAGCAATTAGAAAAAATTGTGATAATAAAATGATGTACAGAAACGTTGTCTAAATGGTCATCTTGCCGCCATCTCTGTACTGAACTGATGATGATATTTGTTGTAAGTTAAAAGAACACAGTTGCGCAGTGCATTGATGGTAACCAAGAATACGCGTAATTGGTGAACTTGCTTGTTCAAAATGATTATTGTTTAGTAGATACTTCAATGTAGTTGATTTGTTTTGATGTGTCTCTCACCGGAAATGCATTTCTACTAAATGGGTTGTTCGTTCAGGAGGAGAGGTTGAAGGAATTTTCATATATTCAGCGGTCTTAGCTCTCTAACCTCTAACTGAATGAACTGAAATTTATATTTAATACTTCGCATAAAATATAAATATCCTGCTCACCCATCGTTCGTGGACTTTGACCTCCCTTCGTTTTATCGGTCAAAGCCAATGAGCAGTTACAAGAAACTTCTTTCTATGCTCCCGCAGTTTATTAGTCAGGAATTTGTTAGCTCATACAACGTAATTGCAGTGATCTAGTTAACGTAATATTTGCGAGGCAATTCAAGGACTATAATAAGTGTCTGCAATGGACTTCTATTATTTGAATGTCCCGGAAGGAAATGTCATTATTTGCCGGTAGTAAGGCTCAATTCTTATTTATTTGTTTATTTATTGATTAATTCTTATAGCATGTAACCGGACAGTGTGGTCAGCTACCTATGAACCATCGTCTGTTCTTTGTTTCAGGGAGCGGACAGCGATCAAAGTAACGAATTGCTCTGCAGGGGGAAGTTTGGTGGAGTTTGCTAGCCTTTAGTCGTTATGGTAGTTTTGAAGGCCTAGCGGGAACACCGAAA